CTGAAAAATAAGCTCAGGCGATATCCCCAACAGCACCACACCCTCCCAGAATCCTCGCGGAATGCCCCGCGACCGGTTTTGCTGAGGATGCCGCATTGTATCTTTGTAATGCAAAGAGCCAAGAGTGACAGCGCAATCGCGCCCTGATCGGGGCCCGACGGCGCAATCGGGGCCGGGCCCGACGCGGTGGAACCCTGGTGGAACCTTCGTGGAACCTGACCTCAAACCACCCCGGGCCCCCACAGCCCTCGCAGACCTAGTGAAACGCTGGTGGAACGCTGGTGGAACGCTCGTGGAACCTTACCTCAAACCACCCCAGACCATCCCGCAGCCCTTGCAGAACCTGGTGGAACCCTGGTGGAATCGTCGTGGAACCCTCGTCTCGTGGAACCTTACCTCAAACCACCCCGGACCACCCCGCAGCGGAACCCTCACCCCAGACCACCCCGCTGCCCTCGTAGAACCTGGTGGAACCCTGGTGGAACCCTCGTGGAACCTTGCCTCAAACCACCCCGGACCACCCCGCAGCCCTTGCAGAACTTGGTGGAACTCTGGTGGAACCCTCGTGGAACCTTACCTCAGGGCCGCCCCGGACCACCCCGGACCCTATCTGGGCTGAGACCCCAAAGCTTTCAGCTGTTGGGGAAAAAACAAATGCACTCAGTATGTCTTGCTGTTGGTGACTGTCAGCAGGCAAAACACTGAGCTGGTTGTTTTGTTGGAGGAACTATGCTAGACAAAACAAAAGCGCTCAAGGAAAACAAACAAACGAAACACAAAGGAAACGTCGAGCACACCAAAACAACACTTTTGCCAAAACCAATCCCTCTCCTCCAATGTGGTTTCCTTTTATCCAAGGTGTTTTGCTTGCTTTTGGTTTCCTCGATTTCTGCGTGTGTCCTTGTTTGTTTTCCTTGTTCTGTTTTGAGATTTGCTCACTTATCTTCATGCTGAAGGTGGCAACATTTGCTGAACTCTTCTACCAGATTTGAACTAGAATCTTAAGGAGGAGTAGTCCCTTTCCAACATATGATTACAAGTTGAATCCACCTAGAAGAGACATGACCATGCAAAGGGAATACGTCTATTCGAGTTTATATCGTCAACCAGAATGCAAATAAGAGACCATCTCTATTTTGACTAGACTAAAATGTGAATTCCTTGCCAGATACGATTTAAATCACAAGAAAATCACAGTTCAAATAGAATCAAATGACGAATTGATTGAATGTCTAGTTCAATAAGACTCCAAGTAGGAAATCCTTTATTTTTAAGAGAACGTGGCTTAGCTTATTTGCAGTTCACATGGAATTTGATACCCTCCCCCCACATGTATTGTAGCTTCTTGGCTATACAATATGCTGCAAATGTAGTTCATGGGGGGGGGGGGTGAGAATGTCCAACATAATGTATGATCAGCCCGAGATCCCGGCAACCAGGTCAATGCCTACAGGGCACAGTCTGCTTCAGAATAAATGTTTCTGCTGTCTTCTTAGGCGCTGGACAATCGGAGTCGCGCTGACCAGGGTGCGCTGAGCGAATCCGCAAATGGACCTGCAACCCCACAGCCTCTGTCCAACAAACTTCAAAATGCTCCGAACAAGTCGCCACCATCGGCTGGCATGTTACATGGCTGATATGCTGTTGGTGGAGCCGAGAAACATACCTACTGGGATGTGTCGAAATGGCAGGGACTGGGAGGGAACACAGCGGTCAATGCAAACCATGTTCAAAGGGGTCGCTTCCAAGTCAATATGTGGCATCACGATTTTCGGAACAATTCAGGTGGTCTCCCCCTCTCGTCCTTCCCAAGCCAGCAGTAGACGACCAGAAATTTGGCCAGTGATTCATATAATTCAGGCACATGTTCCCTTCCGTCTCTGAGCTCGCAGCCGGCTCATCCTCAAGGCCCATATCACCGGCATGGGTGGCTGGTTCGAAGTTACCACCCCTGGCGCCGAGGAAAAACCATACCCACGCACATGTATGACAACCCCCCTGATTGAAGCATGTGTGGAAACATGTTTCTTTTATAATGGTTTGTGTGGCGTGTCTGGCTTGTGTGGCATGTATGGCTTCTGGCTTATATGGCTTGCTTGTATTGCTTGTATGCCCTATATTAGGCTTGTGCGCCTTGTATCACTTGTATGACTTGTTTGGCTTGTATGGCTTGCATGCCTTGTATGGCCTGGCTTACGTATGGCCTGGCTTGCATGGCCTGCGTGGCTTTGTATGGCTTTGTATGGCCTTGTATCGCTTTGTATGGCTCTGCATAACTTGCATGGCTTGTATGGGATGGCTTGTATGGGATGGCTTGTACGACATAGCTTGTCTGGGTTGTATGGCATGGCTTGTATGGCTCGTATGGGTTGTACAGGCTTGTATAGCCTGTATGGCTTGTAGGGCTTGTGTGGCGTGCATGGCTTGCGTGGATAGAATGGCATGATTTGTGTGGCTTGCATGTCGTGTATGGCTTGTATGGCTTGCACGGTGTATAAAAACATGCATGGCTCGTATGGACTGTATGGCTTGCATGGCTTGTATGGCATGGTGCGTTTCGCTTGTATGGCTCGTATGGGTCGTATGGCTTGCATGACTTGTATGGCGTGTATGGCTTGTATGGCTCGTATGGCTCGTATGGCTTGCATGGCTGCATGGCTTGTATGGCTTGCACGGCTTGTATGGCTCGTCTTTTTTGTATGGTCTATTTTGGCTTGTGTGGCTCGTATGGCTCGTATGGCTTGTATGGCTTGTATGGCTTGTATGGCTTGTATGGCTTGTATGGCTTGTATGGCTTGTATGGCTTGCATCCGCTAGCTCGAATGGCCTGCATGGCTTGCGCGGCATTGTTTGTATGCATTGTTTGCATGGCATGGATTGTACGGCTCGTATGGCTTGTATGGCTTGTTCGGCTTGTATGGCTTGTCTGGCTTGTATGGCTTATGACTTGTATGGCGTGTGTGGTTTGTATGGCTCGTATTGCTCAAATGGCTCGCATTGCTTGCATTGTTTGCACGGCATGGCTTGTATGGCCTGTGTGGCATGGATTGTATGGCTTGTATAGCTCGAATGGCTTGTATGGCTTGTTTGACTGGTATGGCGTGTATGGCTTGTATGGCTCGTATGGATTGAATATTTTTTGTTTGACTTGTATGGCTCGCATGGCTTGTATGGCTCATATAGCTTGAATGGCTCGCATGGCTCGCATTGTTTGCATGGTGCATGGCATGGCATGGCTTGTATGGCTTGTATGGCTTGTATGGCTTGTATGGCTTGTATGGCTTGTATGGCTTGTATGGCTTGTATGGCTTGTATGGCTTGTATGGCTTGTATGGCTTGTATGGCTTGTATGGCTTGTATGGTTTATGACTTGTATGGTGTGTATAGCTTGTATGGCTCGTATTACTCGAATGGCTCGCATTGTTTGCATTGGTTGCACGGCATGGCTTGTATGGCTTGTAAGGCTTGTATTTGTATGGTCTTGTTTGAATTTGTATGGCTTGCATGGCTTGTATGTCTCGTATAGCTCGAATGGCTCGCATTGTTTGCGTTGTTTGCATTGTTTGCATTGTTTGGATGGCATGGCTTGTGTGGCTTGTATGGCTTGTATGGCTTGTATGGCTTGTATAGCTCGAATGGCTCGCTTGGCCTGCATGGCATGGCTTGTATGGCGTGTATGGCTTGCATGGCTTGCATGGCTTGTATGGCTTGTATGGCTTGTATGGCTTGTATGGCTTGTATGGCTTGTATGGCTTGTATGGCTTGTATGGCTTGTATGGCTTGTATGGCTTGTATGGCTTGTATGGCTTGTATGGTTTATGACTTGTATGGTGTGTATGGCTTGTATGGCTCGTATTACTCGAATGGCTCGCATTGTTTGCATTGGTTGCACGGCATGGCTTGTATGGCTTGTAAGGCTTGTATTTGTATAGTTTTGTTTGAATCTGTATGGCTTGCATGGCTTGTATGTCTCGTATAGCTCGAATGGCTCGCATTGTTTGCGTTGTTTGCATTGCTTGCATTGTTTGGATGGCATGGCTTGTGTGGCTTGTGTGGCTTGTATGGCTCGCATTGTTTGCATGGTGTGCATGGCATGGCTTGTATGGCTTGTATGGCTTGTATGGCTTGTATGGCTTGTATGGCTTGTATGGCTTGTATGGCTTGTATGGCTTGTATGGCTTGTATGGCTTGTATGGCTTGTATGGCTTGTATGGCTTGTATGGCTTGTATGGTTTATGACTTGTATGGTGTGTATAGCTTGTATGGCTCGTATTACTCGAATGGCTCGCATTGTTTGCATTGGTTGCACGGCATGGCTTGTATGGCTTGTAAGGCTTGTATTTGTATGGTTTTGTTTGAATTTGTATGGCTTGCATGGCTTGTATGTCTCGTATAGCTCGAATGGCTCGCATTGTTTGCGTTGTTTGCATTGTTTGCATTGTTTGGATGGCATGGCTTGTGTGGCTTGTATGGCTTGTATGGCTTGTATGGCTTGTATGGCTTGTATAGCTCGAATGGCTCGCTTGGCCTGCATGGCATGGCTTGTATGGCTTGCATGGCTTGTATGGCTTGTATGGCTTGTCTGGCTTGTCTGGCTTGTACGGCCTTGATGCTGGAACTCTATGGCCAAAGGTACAAGACGTCCGCGCCGGTCAGAACGGAAGAGGGCGCCGAGTCCCACACCCTCCGGTTGTGTAGCCATTGGACATGGCGAGCACATGCGCTTTGGACCGCGAAATGCATACAAGGGAAATCGGGCTGCTTGTCAAGGTTTGGCTTATGGGCTGTGCAATCCTCAAGCAAAGGCTGTGGAATGTCATTCTTTCTGAGATACCAAGGAAAATCACAGGCAACAGCACTACACAAAAGACGGGGGGAAGTCGTGACGGCATGGCTTCCGCAGTTTTCTGTTCCTGTCTCCGGCACGGGTTTGAATTTTGGTGGTGCTAAAGTTTGCAAGCAGTTGCACTCCATGTACGAATCCGCTTGCTTGAGAGGGATGGCTTTTCAAAGAACATCGCAAAACTGCGGAATAGCAGTGCAATTTGGCCACGAACCTTTTGATATCACACATCTTGCGCATCGAAATCCACCAAATCCGCGTCGTTCTCCGGGAGGTCGAAGTTGCCTGGCAAGAACAAATTTGGCACGTTTGGCACGTCTCCTAATACCGATATGAAAAAACCCTTGCATCGGCCTTCCGGCTCCAAGTTTTCGCCGTACTGGATGCCTCAATGACATGGATCCACTGGTTATGCAATAAAGTGCGACGCTCTGACTCTCCAATTGCCAAATTTGGCCAACTGCATCTTGCCATCGCTCCCAGAAGTTGCAAGCAGGGACGCTGTCTCTCAACGTTTGGAGACTCATCATGGCTGAACTCTCATTACCTTGCTCAAATTACCGAAATCATTCTAGACATACGCACTTGAAGGGTTTTTGCCAAACTTAAGCCTGCCTTAAGCCACTTCAACAACCAGCTCTTGGTGTTCCTTGGACAAGCTCAAGCAAATTCCTCGCCGAGATACAGTGATTGACGTGCGAGACGCAAAGCTCGATGGAGTCCTCCACAGCGAGACCCAAGACATCACTTACTCAGCAAGTTCACATGGAACCTGACAAAGTTCACAGGCTCCCCAAAACGGACCTCTATGGATTGCTTTCTGGGCTCCAAAATCTGAGTGCGGCATAATCAGGAAGTGAGCGTTTTTGTAATGGCAGAATCCTAGCTTCCGAGAGATTCTCTGGCTGGCACTGGCTGAGACTCTTGTTTGGGACTCTAAGCGGAAACCAGGAGCAAGCCAATCATGAATGCAGGCCCCTGACTGTGAAACCTTCCAGGATGGATTCCATGTGCAAAACGTATGGCTTTGAAGATTTGGGCAGGCCCAACTCCAATCCTAACTTATAGAAAATGTCAACTCTCAACTCCATGTCCTGTGTGCAACTCTGGCTTCAGCTTCAGCTTTCGGGGTGGTTGCGGTCCCCACGCGCCGCGCCTCGTCGTCTCGGTTCAGCATCACGAAGCTGACCTAGAGCAAAGAGCTGCCAAGGCTCGGCTGAATGAGTCATTGCCTCATCGCTAAAACCGGGTATTCCAGGAGTCTTGCCCACACCCATAATTGAAAAACCCCAAAGAAAAGGGATATGCCCGAATTTATGGTTGGGACTGTTCCCTACTAACCTTCTGCCAAGCTTGTCATGCTCAGTTCCACTCCAGGGAGTAGTCCTCCAGCATCTGGCCCAACGCTTCATTGAGCATGCGGAACCTTGACTTCGCGCCCTTCACTCGGGTTGTTCTCTCAAGGGTCCTCAGCTTGAACGTCTTGCGGCTCAAACCAGGGGGTCTCTCTTGAAATGAAGCAAAAAAGCAACGGTTGGCTCTGCATTTCAAAACCACCCCAAAGAAAACCCTGAAAAAAGCCAAATCCGCACGCGTGAAGGGACAGCTATGAAGCGTCTAAGACCAAGGCCTGGGGTGCGTGGAAGCACGCAGGTCCGCTAGGATGGCCTTGAGGGAAAGTTGCAGTAAACTCCCTGCCCAGCAAAGGGGTCCCAAACTCATTTTCTACCAACACAGCAAGAGCAAGGTTCATATAGGCCTCACTATAGTCCTGCACCGAAGGGTGGAACCCCTGCCTAAATTGGTCAAGACTGACTTTGACTGCTCAGGCTCAAATGGGTCCCTGTCTTGGTGACATGCTGGGCCAGTTTCCAAAAAAAAGGATGAACATTTGGTCAATCCCCTCTATCATGTCTGGTCAATCAGCAAACATGCGAGCCATGACCGCAGTCGAGCCTCTGTATCACCGTCCACATATCTTTCCACATCCGCCTAAGGACGCAGGCTACTCAGAGTCGGCCTTCTTTCCGATTCGGCGCTCGGCTTTCGGAGGAAGCAGGTCACATTTGGTCAAGACGTTGATGTGAGGCCTGGGCCCACGAACTGCTTCAAGACGCCAAATGCTTAGATTGGTGTCGACCCCGGATTAATCAAACTGGGGGATGCATAGTCGCTTCCCCAAAAAGTGAAGGATCCCCTCCAAAATGGGACATCTCCCTATCCATGCAGTCGACGCTTAGCCCAGCACAGCTCCAGGTTCACCATGGCAGTCAACGCCGACAATGCCTCGTCAAAGATGTGGATTCTGCCGGTCGTGGGAGTGCCAAGATTGAGGTCTCCACCCCAGACAGGAACTTGGACGCGTCCTGAGCCAGGCTTCACATATCGCGCACTTCCATGCCAGGGTTTCATTTGTTTGACTACCCCAACGTAGACTGAAACACAGTCTCCGTTGGGGAAATCAAGCACCCTTGGGTTTACTCTTGTGGATGTCCGGGGTCTGTCCTCAATGAAATTGACGTCTATGCAATAGACACCAGCCACCCGGAAGTCCTGTGAGCACGGCCGCTCTCTCGGCACCTCTCAAAACGATTGCGCCTCATTTTGCAGCATGTCCACAATCTCCCGCATGACGGGCAAGTGCGAATATAACTCGATCTGCCTCACATGCAGCTTGAGTGCAACGAAAGAAATCGCATTTCGCTGAATATTCCGAGTTAAGCGTGACACCCGGGGCAGTCAAATATGTAGTAATCATCATCGAGAGCATCTGATATTTGCTCCTCTTGCGAGTGCAGGAGCGGCTCCCCTATCATGCGCTCATTGAACGCTACAATCGCTAGGCATTCCTCCAGCCAAGACATGTTCTCAGAGAGGTACTCCATCGCATAGACTAGCCCTCCATTGGGGCCGTAGTCAAGTTCCTTCCGGCTCGAACTGAACACATTAAATGGCAGGTCTCATCTGAAGACATGGCTGTGGGTCAAAAATAGGTGCCCAAAATGGAACCCTGGTAAGTGGCAACATGGACTTAAAACCTGCGGTCCCCTGGTGGTTTAATTTTGACCCATACCCACATGACAAGGCCTCCATGACATCATCTACAGAGATCAGCTCCCGTACCTCGCATCGCGCTCGGAAAACGGCTTTTTGTGACAGGAGCTTGCTCTTGCGGTGATGCCTCAAAATGGCCTGTGTGGGCAAGAAAACATCCCAGGAAGACGCAAGCCAAATGTTAAAGACTGTTCCATTTCAAGATCCCTGAATTCCACGCAGGGTCATATATCACTCGTGGAGGTTCGTTGGCGCTGACTCCAGAAAAACAGCTTGGCGGCGGGCATCTGCATAACAGTCGTAGGCGAAGTTCTCGGCCGCAGGATCCAAATTCACAACCCTGGCATTGCTCGCAAACGTCTCGAAGCAAAATAAGTTCCCGCAAAAATGTGTGGCTTCCCTTTGGTTTCCCTTTAGACGAACCCAAAAACGCCCCCCAAAAAAACACACACACATACCCAGGAGGTCCCTGACCCTCGGCAGTAGGAGACTTCAAAGGATGGTGCCTCTTGGCGATCGGAGTGGGGCCGGGGGTGGGAAATATCCATCCCATCCCAACATTCCATAGGGGTTCTGCGATGCGCCTGCAGGTCCTGCGCATGGCCACCTTGAAGTGCTCCTGGCGAAGGGAGCAAACCATCGACCCGTTGAATGGGTTCCAAGAAATGGGGTCCAAATGGATGCCACGCACACACACTGTCCAATGTTGCAGTTGGAAGCTGGAACCTGTTTGTTAGGACCTGTTCAAGGTGCTTGAAGAAATATGGCGCTTTGCAGAGCCGGGAGATGAAAAGGGACCCATTCCATATCTTGAATAAGCATGGAATGGAATGGAAAGATCATATGATGTCAACCAAGCTAAAGGGAGATAGACACATGGTATGAGAGGTGAGACCTGTCATTCATTCTCCCTGTTCCACCTTGAATGCGCGAGCAGTCCTTTCGTCCACGTATTCATTTGTAAGTGTTGGAAGATCCTGAATTTCTGAATGGAAAGAATTGTCTGTTAGGATTATAATATGTTCATATTGCCATGTATGCTCCCACAATGTGTATCTGTCTGGCAAACGAAATACACTTCTTGTATGCTTTGTCAGGTCTCTTGTAGCTTGTAGAGGTATGTGGGGCAAATACACCAGACGAGGCAGATGGGTGCACCAGTTTCTAATTTATTACTATGTCTATTGACTGGTCCATCTTTGTCACTCCTTGCGTTATCAATTTCAGTTGTTGTTTTTGGTGTCAATAATGACATTTACAATGTAAGGTCAGCTAAAGAAAAAAACAATGAGAGCGTGTTCTTCAGGAGGAAACTTATCATCCAAATGCCCTCCCGCAGGTGCAATGTTGGTGAGGGGGCATCTGTTCCTACGGGGTGCTGTGAAACCATATCTTCAATTCCAAAACCATACCATGCATCAGCACACCCCGAAAAGGGGCCTGGGAAAATTGGTCCTGTGGCTTACGTTTTTTCCGCCAAGACTATGGTCGACCAAGAATATCGTCAGTGACTCATGCGACAAGAATCGGCAAGAAGATCAAGGCCTGAATGATGGCACAGTACGTTGACCTCGACGCCGGAACCGGCTTCCGCGCGCTCATCAGCAGCGACATATGCTGGGTTTCCTCAAACTGGCGGACCCCCTTTTGGTTGGTGATTAAAGGGAAGCGAAAAGGAACCCAACCATTTTAAATGACCACTTTTAAGAAACAGCAAATGAACGTTGCGGACCTGGGGACGGCACTTGCCGCAGCCGGCGGGTCCCATGACAAACTGTGCAAACTTCATCCTTCTCAAGGCCCATAGCTAGCCGGACGTGCGCAGGGAGTAGCAGCCGGTTGGGATTTGTGCCGGTGCGAAGGCTTAGGACTCCCGGAATGTATCCTTGACCAACTCTTTGCAAAAAGAAAGCACCTCTCACACCAAGAGACGCGTGGCAAAAGGATAGTCAAGGTGCTCCTGTTCGAAACCTTTGGGGCACGGTGGGGCACAGGCGTCCAAAGCTTTTGACTCATGGGATGTCATCGGCGTCTGTGTGACATGCAGATAGCTCTCATAGTGTTCACCGCTTGTTCAGCTAAATGTCGGCGGCGCAAAAATGGGCAGCAAGACACTAGCCACTTTCGGCAATCCCTTCCTCCAAAGCAATCAGGTGTGTTCCTAGCGATAGAAGATGTCTCCCCGATTTGGGAAAGCAACATCTACTACTTACTAAGGATATGTTGATTCATGCAAAGTCGACATCGTTGAGCTCTCAGGGCATGTCAAAGAAACAGCGGGTCTTGGAGTATCAAGTAGCCGACATGTGAGTGTGCAGTTGTCCATTTCTCGGCGTATTCAAATGATCTGAAACGTTGATCTCGGCAAGATATGTACACCGGCAATCCCTTTGGATTCTTTCTTCGATCTCCGAAACGTGCGAGCGCGTCGAACCCTTGGCGTACGCACCCTAAAAGGGAGACGCGCAACATAGGTCACGCACCTCTATCGGGTCAATGAATCACGGCGCCGCTCTCGTTTGTAAAATGAGTAGCCTGACCTTGGCACGCGATAGCGATCTATGAGCCCGATTCAAACTCCCAAATGTCTGAACTCCCTAGGCATGACCAGCCTCATCCCTGGCAAAATCCGTCAACATTCAGTGTGCCCAAGCTGAGATGAGGTTTTGTAATTGTCTCCAGTTTCTGCAGATCAATTTGGAAGTGGTGTGGGATCAAGCTGGTGGCCAACACTGCTCTTTTGCTAGTCCCTGCACGTGATATTTCGCTCCAAGAACTTCTCCAGCCAAACTGCGCCAAATTGGGGCCGTGACCTGGACGAGTGATCCTCATTTCGGAGAAAGCTTCGGGCCTTGCGAGACCATCTCAACGTGAAACCGCGGAAGGTAACTCAAGTTTGATATGTTCTTAGGTTGCTTTTAGTGGTGTTGGACTGCTTGGCAAACCTAACTTGCAGGTGGCGATACGGATGCGCACCAAACCTGGCATTGATTGGCGTGAACTGACCCTCTGCATGTGGATGTGTGCTGCAGTGGGCACGTGCGGCTGCCCCCGAATCCAGGTCAAAACGCCGTGCCGCGCGCACCTTCTACCCTTGCTACAACTGTGCCGATCCCCGAATTGAATTTATTGCTTATTTCCGGAGAAAGACACGTGTTTTTCCCCTGATGTCTGCCATATTCTCTCCAGTTCCAAGCATCAAGGTGTACCCCTGCAAAAGTAAGGGCCTGACGCGTTCTATGTTTTCCAGAGCGGCGGAATCGGGGGTACTAAGAGTACTCCCCCGGAACTCCTGAACTGTGCCCTGACTGGCAGATGAAAAGCACCCGCATGAAGCCCGGAAACCTTGGCGTTGCCCATGGTCCTTCCTATATGTATTCCCATACACTTGAATCCACACATTTGTCTGCAAGCTGCGCAGGAAAAGGCACTTCAGAAGATAAGTTTAGGCCGTCTGTCTCCGCGCTCCCCGGCGTCATCCCCTTCCAGACCAGCTTCAAACAAAAGCTATGAGAGCCCGGCAGTTGCTCTCAAGCTTGGCTTCCACGCCTGCAAGGAAAGCTGAGACGAGTGCTACATGCCCATTATCTTCGCGCCTCCGTCGCCGACGGGCTTTCATCTCGTCTGCTCGACTCCGCTGCAGCGCTGTTCCCCATATCGTCTGCATCGTCGGTGCCCGTGTGGGCTGTGCAACCCTCCGTGCTGAGGTCGGCCGCATCTTCGCTGGACACTTCGCGACTCGCGTCGGGCTCAGCCAGCTCCAAGCCTGGAGGCGCTTCTGCAAACGCAGGCTCCAGAGACTCTGGCAACTCGCACGGACCTCAGAGGGACAGGTCCCAAGACAGCAGCACACTGCTCCGAGAAATTCACTGAACCCTCCCTCCCAAGCTGCTTGAAGTCTCTAAGCTGGCTGGTATGGCTTTCTCAGGAAGCTCGGAAGTCGATTCCCTCTCAGACTGCCACCACTGACCTGGGACTGCAAACTGTCCATGTCAGCCTCAGGGTGCTCAAGGACTTGGGATGGACCGCAACCGAAACACCAGCGCGGGCTCGGCCGATTCCAACCTGCGGCCGCGCCTCTGCACTGGGCTCAGACGGATCGGTCTCGAGGCTGGGTCCCAGTGCCCTGCGAATTGCCGCTTCCCTCTAATTGGTGGTTTGCAGCGCGGTGGTTTGGTGGTGCATGAGGGTTTCCCATGTACCCTCTACAAAAGCCAGGGGTTATCAAATTTCAAAATTGGCAAGTGGCATGGACCGGAAATGTAGGACATGGCTCCTGTCCAAACGGCACATTCTGGTAAAGGTCAGCAAGGACTAGTGCTGCGGGCGACAAACGAACCAAGTTGCCACCCACTGACTCCCTCTTCAGTTCCGATTCCCCAGTTCCAGCCTCGCGCTGGGAAAAGCTGGATGTCCTTCCATATCCCAATCCCAGCAAGGGAACAGTGCATGGCCACGGCCCCGAGATTCGCTATTGGCCTATGGCTCCCCTTAAGAGTCAGCTCCAAATTGGTGTGTCAAAATAGGGGCACCCCAAAAAATGCCTTTGGGTGTCCTTCAAAACTACTTAAAAAGGGTATTCTCACACCCGCATCATTGGCCCTAGCTAGCAAACGCGACGAAGTCGAGAGATGCAGTCCTGACGTCAGCGCAGGCTGCTGGTGCACCTGCCAAATGCCAAATGCCAAGCGAGAATCACGAGGTGGGCTTTCAAAATAGGATGTAGCTGCCTATGATGGTTGGAATTGACTGTTTTCCCTTTAAACACCCAACCAAAACCGGGTCCACCAGTTGGAGAAAGACTCGCAAGCTCCGCCTGCTCCAACGTTCCGATCCTCATATGAGAGAACTGGCCACGTGCGCATAGATCTGCAGACCGAGGCTTGGGCGGCTCACTGGGCAATTCGAGCCCCGGCCAGCGGCGGGAGCAATCTGAATCGTCACCTCCCAGATCGGCTTCTCGTTCAAAGCTATCCTGCGATGGAGCGAGGCATCCTCATCCAAGCCCAGACCACATGGCTGTGGGGACCATGGTCTTCCTTGGCCTTCTCTACACCAAACCTCCGAGTTCGGGAGTCGTGATTCAGACCACCTCCACTTGACATGCAAGCCGTCCCAATGAGTTTCCGCCTCGGCACTGCAGCTGCGGCGTTGGCCTCCCAATACTTGCAGGGGCAAGCAGTCCAAGCATACTTGATGGTTAAGACAAACATCTCCGAACCTTTCACGGACTGCAAACCATTTCTGGGAGGGGATTCTCATGCAAGGAACCATATAAGATCATAATATAAGGAAACACTGGCCAGTATTTACTCCTCAAAAAAGGCTTGTATGCTAATCATGGCTGCCAACATGTTCCCTTATGCGAATGCATACTTAGGGATCCCATCCCTGAGATGGCCTTTGATTGCGGCACCATTCAAAAGGGGTCAAACAAAAGGGCAGATTTTTTACAACCCCCGTCATACACGTGCTCACTTCCGGCCTCTGAGCTTGCAGAACAGCCGGCACAATGCCTGAGCAATCTCTGCACTGTCAGGTCAGCTGGACCAAACAGCCCAGGGATATGAACCTGCAAAGGCCTTGCGTCAATATTATCATGGCCATCCAAATGCAGGCCTTTGAGTCACTTGTAAAGGTCAGCAAGGGATAGTCCCAGCCATGAATAGGTGCGGCCGCCCTTTAATCTCTTTACATGATTTTGAGGAGACCCTTTCGTACCAAGCTTTGATTGTGACTCTCTTCGGACCCCAGTGCTCTTGCCTCGTACGGCCATCTCCACTTCGGGCTTGCCTGCTTAGCACGGCAAAGTGAGATGTACACCGTGCCGGGCACAAACAAAAGTTTGACCTTCCCCGCCTTCTCTCCAAAAATAGCCTACAACAAACACCATGGATTTCCCGTGGTGCAGCTTAACAGGAAAGATCCGCACATTGCCGTGGGGAAACACACTCCAGGAGTTCGAGGTTGCTTGACAAGGCTGCGGGTCAAAAACCGGGTAACCCCAAAATAGATGGCAACATGGACTCAAACCTGCGGTGCCCTGGTCTAATTTCACGTCCCAAAAAGCGAGGAAGAGATTTCAAGCAAAGCGCCCGAAAGATCGATCCGCCTCGAGCCCCAGGAGAGTCAGCAACGTCTCAAGGGTCAAATGCCCCGACCTCGGTTGAAAGGCACCGGGTTCTCACTCATCTCATTGTGCTTTTTGGGTGCCCCATTTTGGGTTGGTCTTAATTGTAAACCAAACGGAAACCAACCATTTTGGTGGTCACCCAACCTTTGGCACATATCAAGGTCTGAAGCAGTCGTCTCCTCTCTTGTGGTTCAGAAACACACATGACAAGGACTCCCAGAGCATAGCAAACTAGCCACAGTCAATACTATTCGTCCCCTTTGACATGGGATGTGGTGAAGCATGTGTGATTCGTAGATTAGTTGGAACTTTTTGGTTGGGCCAAAACTGCATCTGTTGGCCACAGGCTTTGGCATAGGAGTGTTTTAGTGTGTGCTCAATGTCATCCCGGTAAATGCCGGATAAGTGGTATGATGTGTGTGTGTGTGTTTTTAAGGGTGCCCTTTTTCGGCTATGTGAATGGGAAACCAAAACCCACACACCCATTTTTGAAGGCTCCCCCATGTAACAACATACAGACAAAGCCTTATAGACAGAATCACAATTGCGTCACTCCTACCTTTGGCTGAAGCACCCGACCGTTTGCATCTGGGCTGTGTGTTTGGCTATCCATGCTTACCGCATTCCCTTGCGCACCATGGACTAACAGCTGATGTTGCCTCTCAACTCAGTGGGTTTTGAGAGAAACTGGACACCATAGGCTGTAGACTCTCAACGGGCCAGGGCCGGGACGGACTCGCAGGGCTTGCATCCAATGCGAGCAGGAAAATATGGTACCACACCTCGACTTCGCCACACATGTTTCACATGACAAACCAAAGCGGTTCTGAAGATGCTGATTCTTTAAACGCTTGCGAAGTTGGTCTATAGGATCAGCTTTCATGCATGTACCACTCGTAGCTCCGAGTAAGAAAAGGGCCCAAGCTGCCAACATCAGCCCCAGCGCATCTACGACCTGGCTTCATCAGCACCTTCAAGCCTTCCCAACTTCTTGCCCCCAGCGCGCCTGAAGAGGCAAGTCGACATCAAATGCCTGGGAACGTTGCGAATACTTCCTGATTCCTTCGCTTTCCCGGAGCTGCTGCCGAATGAGCACAACGAGCTCGCGACTGGTACACTCCACATTGCCACGAGTCAAGCGGCCGTGCAGCCGGAACTGTCAAGGCAAGTCACCTGTTTGTTGGGCGCATTCCATACGAGGATCCGAAATGAATCTTAATTGGGACCCAATGCTGGACATCGCTGCGCGTGCTTTGTGTCCCACAATCATGTTGGAAGGTGCTCGCTTTACTGTCAAAAACATAGCCTTCGTGCGACTGTCTTGCTTTCCATAGTGCTTGAAACTGCAATGGTCATGGGCAGCTGTTGCATCTTGCAAAGGACGGACTACGAGCTCACAAGTCAATCTGCAAGGTCTTCACAACTCCCGTTTTGGCGATGCTCGCCATCTAACTCTGGGTTGCACCAGAGACCAGATCGACTGCTTGGCAGTCGCCTGGCTGCCCTACAGACGTTAACAGTTGAAGCCACCGGTGACAGTGCAGATGACAAGGATGTGAACATGTCTCCTTCGGCAAGCTGGTCGAAGCAAATGTCGCTGGCACAAACAAAAATACACCGGCATAGACCCCAGATAGCAAAAAATAAGCGGATTATTGGACATCTGCAAGACTCATACGGCTGTCAATCGCGCAAAAATGCGCCCGCATCAGCGTCCCAAAACAGCACCTACACCAGCACCCCAAATGGCTTGACCCCCAGCACCCTGCCGTCAATCTCGCCAGCACCTCAAACAACGCCTCAACCAGCACCCCAACACAGCACCTGCACCAGCACCCAAACTGCATTCGCTGGACCCTGCCATCAATCTTGCAAACATGCACACCCCAACTGCACGCCTCCTAGCACCCAGCAATCAATCTTGCAAATCAGTTTCTCCTCTTTATTAGAAGTTAGAACCCCTATAGCTTTTAGCTATCTGGGGAACAACCCAAAGACAGCATGCCCCCGATGATGTTCCCGAAACCACGCTGCGCTTCTAGGCGTCTCACGGTGTCAAGCTTCAGGGCCTCGCGGCCTCCCAGATTCAAGGGTCCTAACCACGTCACGCCATTTGGGCAATGATGTCTCCAAACAACTCACAAGTCGACCCCGATCTCTTGCGGCTATCTTAGAATGTTTCCTGATTTCGGACATCTATTGCACAACCAGCTCGTTCATTTGATTCTCTCGCGCGCAGGGTGGCCGGCGAAGCACCCAACTTAAACGCATTCAGTATCTTCCACAAGTTGTTATCTGCCCACCTACAACCACAACATACAAACCTACAGCAAAAAAACAACTTCTCCTTAGATTCCCAGCTTGCGGATTCCTCATGCTGGGGTTCCGGGCGGCCACCTGGCCCAGGTCGGTGAAGTCCTGAGCGGACCAACGTCAAAGGAATCAAGCTCAAACCTGGGTTCCCCCAATGGGGCAGCGATCTGCAGGGTTCCCTGAGCTATGGGGAAGCCCCCCAGGGGTCCCACCTGCAGGGTCCCCTCAAACCTTGGATGCTGGGAAATCTGGAACTCCAACCCAGCGACACACATGTGGAACGTTCGCACACATCGAGGCCACTGCTACCTGCAGCAGTTCTGTCTGCTGAGCAGGAGCCTACGTTTCAGGTGTGGCCGTGATGCCATTCAACCATCGGTGTCCCATGTGTATCCATTCATGTGTATATATACCAAAACACATGTTTATATATAACTATATATGCATATCGAATGATATATCACAATGTGTATATATATATATTGTACAAATGTACATAAAAGACATGCCTGCATGTATACACATACATGTCTACTTCTTTTGTCAAACGCTCCATTGAAAGCATCTCATCCTCACGACTTCTAGGTGTCACACATGCCACGGCTTGTGGCGAAACACGATTCATTAGCCAGGCCTTTTCTAGCTCCTCACTCTTCAGCAGCGTCTTGATCTCGGCATGCTGTGTGATTTGTCAAGGGACCCATTTCCACCCTTCAGCTGAAAGGGAAACCACTAGAAAATCATTGGGGGGGGGGGGGGGTTTTGCGTCCCCTTATTTCACCCATTTGGCCACCATCTGAGCGGCACGCTGAAACGGCTGGATCAAAGTTTAACTCTCGAACACACGGCGCGTGGGAAAGCTGGACCAGCCGACCAGAGCGTCGGCCACAGGCTTCACGTCAAACAGTTCACGTCCGATGAACATGGCTTCATATGTGCGTTGTTAACCAAGACCCAGTCTCAAAATTCAGCACCCTCATGATCGGTACCCATCCCTTTCAGCCACCAACAGGAACATGTCCCCTGGATGCGCAAAACCAAAATGTCCGGCGCCTCGTTGAAGGTCAACTCGGTATCCCTGGCAAATGCGTTGCGTGAGACTGACAACACCCAAGTGTTGTGCGCTGTCCACCAAACACCAGGCCTGTGAAAAGACC